AAATAGAGTTTTTTTTATTATTATTTATTTTTAAAAATTATAATTAATAGTTTATACAATATAAAATTTGTTTTATTAATCCCTAAACTTATTTTATATCATGTTTAACTGTCAAGAAATATTATTATTATTTTAAATATTATTTTGAGAGTTTTCAAGAATTTGACCTCAGAAAAGACACTTTTTTTTTCCTTGTCTTTTTTAATATACAAAATACATTGAAATCTTTATATAGCTACATAAATTGGGTATTTCGGATTTTTTTTCTTCTCTATAAAATATAATTTTCTTCTGTGTTACCCCTAGAGAAAGATCTATAAAAGTTTTATATCAAAGATTTATTCGTCTTATAGCTCATTCTAATTCTTTATTATCATAATTTTCTTTTAAACGACATTTCTAGGCAAAGTAATAAAGATATAACAAAACTGTTTACTCTAATAAAACCTAAGAAAAGAGAAATATATATATATATATATGCATAAGCCTATATATATATTGGCAATTAAATTTATAATTATTATAATAAAAACACTTTATAAGATTCAGCAAACACAATTTTTTTTTTTGGTGTGTGTTTTTCAAGAAAGAATTTGTATAGAAGTAATGGAAAAAAATACAAACGAAATCAACTGTCTTTGCATCTTGTGGGATTACAGGAATAGCAGAATCAACAGAAAATAGCTATTTGTTAATGTTTACAACTATTTTTCTCGTGTGGCTTACATAAAAATGTTCCTTTTCTGGCTATATCCGTTGTATATAATATAAAAAAGAAGAAAAAAGAAATTCCACAGGTGTAAGGAAGTTGGAGCCGCAAGGATTATAAAATTCTTATAAAAATGAACGAGTGAAAGTTTTTCAGACTTTCTATAAATTTAATAGGCCGGGGATGCAGAGTTGTGTTCCCTGTAGGAGACTATTTCCTATATATTAGAATCTGAAACGAAGTGCAAGTTTCGTGCTAGTGACAAGAAATACTTCTTCCCAACGGCCTTCAACAAGAGTAGAGAAACTCAACTCCTCGTCTGTGACGAGGTCGTATTAAATTTTTCATCTCCGATGTTTTCAATATTTGAAGATTACCGCTGGGAGACAGCACTACCACCGACTTGCTTAACAATGTTTAGACTGGATATGCAGCAAAGTCTGCTCTGTGTCTGTCGAGCTAATTTTCTCTTCTCTTCCTTAGAGAGATTCAATTGAGAACTTTCCCTGGCAACGACTAAAAATCTGAATCAATCCACACGTTTCTACTGTTAGACTAAAACTTAATGAGACTTTATTTTTTTTAATTCATCTGTCTGATTGATTTCTTCACACTCGTTTACTTCTATTAAAAGTTTATATATTTTAACTTCACTCAACTAATATTGCTAAATTTGTTATTATTCGCTAGAATTTCCAGTTCTTCGAGCGAATAAATAGGCCCCAATACGTGATGGCTACTTTCTGCAAATGGGGAGTTTGTATGGGGCAAATTGCTTAAGTCGATTCGCGACATTTTTCATGCTCGTGCGAGCGCGACAAATATACTAACGTCACGTCATGCTGCAACAGAAAATATATGTGATAGCGTATCAAACACTCGACCCAACAACTGCTATAATCTAGAAATCGTACGTATGGTCGAGCGGAAACATGAACGTTATTCTGTACATCTTAATATATTCTCATATTCTGTTAACACCTTAATAAGTTTGGGGAGTGACGTCTTCTTTTGTCACCTTTCTCTACTGATGAATAATAATAATAATCCTCTATTACATAAACATATTCTATTCCCTCGTCACGAATAGTGAAGAAACAACTCAACAAAGATATGGTATGTTGTTTCTTCGATTTTCTCCCTTAAAGTAACTAATACTTCAAACTAACCACCGATATTTCTTCTTCATCGTTCTCTAAATCTGTTCTTAGCGTGAGTAAAATCAAACAACCCTTCTCCTATACTACGTTATCATCTCAGGATAAATGGCAGGATTCAATATTAATTAACAATACTATTGTTATTCCTATAGAGAAGTCTATGTTGATCTATAATTAGCATATAGAGGCAGAAATTACGATTATAGATTTAACTCTGATAAACTTACACATAAATCTAATAGTGAAAGGGGGAGTCGAGCGTGAAGAATTCAATATGATGCTCTAAATTAATTACATTTAATTTTCAGATAATTTCTTCACATCTTTATAGCTTAATCTGTGTTATAAAAGTTAATATTTAAACGTAAAATAAAGAAAATCTTTGCAATTTAATGTAGGAAAATATCCTTCGTGTTTATTATCATTATTTTTCATGGAAGATATCACTTAAATTTATTATTTATTTATTTATTATTACTTATTTGAATAATGCATAATAGTTATATATTAATTTTACGAAACGAACTGAAAATTTTCTTTTAATATTCCCAAATTTAATGTATTCTTCTTTAATTTTTTTTATGAGAAAACAAGAGATAAATCTCTCGTAATAATAAAAGTAATACTTGAATATTAAACACAATAACAATAGGAAATTCTTTATTAAAATCGACCAATATTTTAATAATACACTTTCTAGAAATATTTAATAAAAAAGTTATAGCAAATGATCTAATTTTCTGCAATACAATCATGATTAAACACATATTTAAAAATCTTATATTTATATAACCATATTATAAATTAAAAAAAAGAAATTTATTATTATTATTATACAAAGATTTCTATATTTTAAACCTCGTATAAGTTTGAAAAATTTATAATTATTTAAAATATACATCGCACGTAATATATTCATGTATGAATACTAAGTGGGAATATTGTTAATGAGCAAACATCTCTTAATGTACTGTACAAATCGCGTATCCACCCAAAAAATATAACGAGGAATACAGAGAAAATTATGTTTGTCCGAAATGAGATCCGAACCCACGCCTTCCGATAACAAATTACATGATTAACGATCTGGCATGTTGTGAAAGTCTGGATTCTGACACTAGACACATTATTATGTCTGAATCTCGGTACCTTTCTGTGAATGATTACAGATTTATAAATTAGAATTAAACTTTTAACATAGTTTATTAATATAAAATCGCATTATAAACTGTTTAGATAATTTATTATTTATTAATCTTTATGTATAACTTATATTATAAATTTATCTTCATTTTAGCATTTACCATATTGTATAAACGAGAAATTATTTCGGTACAATGCCGGGCGCAATTTTTAATCATATTTTTTAAAATTTATTTAATTTAAAATATATGCTCTCCACCTCATATTAGTGTATTGCCCCTGTAAATCATACTTTCCCTATTAGCAAGTGAATCGTGCAGGTCATCTATTCGAGAAGGGGGGTTGTTTTTTAATTGAAATAACGTGAATAAGAAATTTATATGAAATTAAACGGGTTCACCTGCCCCTAAGGTTTCAATATCTGGTCTCGAGTTTCATTTATCTAATACCGTTCTCGAGATTAAGGAAAGACAGACAGACGGACGACAGTGGTAATGTATAGGTCTACAATCTTTTCAAAATTACAACCCAATAAGAAAATATTTAGGATGAATCTTTATAAATAATTTATATATAAATGTAATGTATTAAAGACACGTCTGTTGTAATATGAATACATTTATAAATTTCATGAAAAAGTTTTAAAGTATTAGACTAAATAAATTATATAAGAAAATAACATTCAAAGTAATCAAAAATTTAGTGAAAGTAGCCAAAATATTTACTAATGTTACACTTGTACAAAACAAAATTCCATTTAATTATAGAGATAGAAGCTAGAAAGGTTTTCTCGTATATCTCATCTTTAAGAACTATAAAAGTATAATAAATAAAATAAGTAGCTTTTGGTATTAAAATTCCCTAAGAAAATCATAGAAAATCGATAGTTTTTCGAGTATAACGAATAGAACACGTTCATTTCCTTACGAGATTCGTGCCAATGAATGTAGACCGATCACGCAACATCCAATAGACTACTATAAAAATTGATAGATGAAAAAAATATTTAAAAAANTTCTTTTGAAATGACTTTATCTCGAGAATTGGTGTAGAATTTAAGACAGGTACCCGCCGCGAAGGAGTCACAGTTATTGATACCTCCCAGGTAGATGAAGCGATGTTGCATTAACACGTATTCTCTAGTTGCTTGTCAGATTTTATTGAACCTGCTGTGGTGTTATCTTCTATCGTTCGAGAAATATTAACAATCGTGTCTCGTCTATGCAGCTACATACTTTATTTTCTTGCAGGAAAGAGGAACGAAAAAGAAGTTTATCTCTAGAGACAGACACCTATCTTCGTAACTAAATTGTAATTTATTTTGTTGCGAAATTATCTGAATGATTCCTCCTGAGAAACCTATTGTATAATTCTCTTTCGTTCACGTATTAAGTATTATTTGTTCGGGAATGTGTTTTTTCTCCTTTTTTTTTTTTTTAGAATTTATATTCGTTCAAATGACAATTTTATGGATGCAAAAGAAGGCACTCTGATTCTATTTTCGAGACTCTTCGAATTAACTTAAATTTTAAAAAAATTAGAATAATTTAATCTTTTTTTAAGTCCAACATTGAAGAAGTAAAAGTATAATAAAGACAGCATCTTTATAATAAGGTTGGATAGAGTTTCATTTCAATCGAGTTGATTTTTCTATAACTTAATTTATAATTATCTTAATTACTATATGTAATTTAAAAGAACTTATACATTTCTACGATATAATCATAGGTTTTATCCATATAAATACAGAGAAAATTCGAAAAAAAAACCTCGATTCACACGGACCTTTTCTGAAGAAAAGTAATAGTCTTCTATTGTGTATCTTGTAATGATAGAGGAGAACCATCAAAAACAATCAACTGTTTTAATTAAAGTCTGCAAAATTCGACATTAATTATTTAGTTACATAAGGTGGAAACGTTGTTTTTTTCTCCCCTTCATTTTCTTTAATAATCTTTTTTTTTTCTTGATAAATTAACTTCTTTAATAATTCAAAACAAACACAGCACCATTCTTTGTCTTAGTTGTAATTAAATAATTACTCTAAATGAAAATTTCATGAAGTTAAATGGATATATAAATTTTGAACATGAAGAATTTTATATTATTTTTCTATATATTTCACTATAGACATCTAAAATTAAAGAATCATCATATACACAACCCATTGCTTTTTACGCTTTTAATTAAATTTGTAGAATAAAAAAAATAATAATAATTAAAGTATGTTTTTTTTTATTATTTTAAAGGCTTTTATTATTATTATTATTATTATTATTATTATTGTTTAATTTTTAAAATACCTTCTTCTAAAAGGATTAATATTTACTATTTAATTCAATAAAATATTCTTTTAAAATTATAGAGGAAAACTCATCACGTTTCAAATAGTAAAAACACAGTAATAATTAACTAATTATTTATTTATTTTTAATTATTTTATGATATATTTAATTGGCGAATAGAAAATTTAAGGATAGAAAAAAAAAACGTTACGTTTAAAGAGTTGAAAGTCGTTTAAAGCCAAATTTGTTCAATTAGTAGGTGAACTTATGGGAACATTTAATTAATAATTAAATAACGTGTAGTCACGAATTTAAATGTTCAAATAGCCAAGATCCCGATGAGATTTATTTCGTAAATTATTGTTAAGTTGAAGTCTATATATTCTAATGTAATTAAAAATTCAGTAAAATGAACTTTCTAAATTCATCCAACTTATTATGGTAAACTTCTATAATAAGTTAACTTAATAAAAATTATATTTTCCATATTAAATTCTAAATAATCTACTAAAAGTATATTCGAATTAATGGAAAATGTATTAAAAATTCTCATCACACCATTCCAGTTATTTAAAATTAAGATCGAAATTAGTTGCTAAAAATATATATATATAATTTTTCTTCTTTATTATTATTTTTTTTTAATAAAGAAATTTCGTGTTTCTGAATTGACTATTTATTTCCCTATTTAATGCAGTTATATTTTCTTCAAATAATTTAAATTTGAATTATGTGATGTGCATAATTATATTTCCGAATTTTTTTCCCCATGTTAATGTAAAGAATTTCATTTAACATTTATATTTTTTAACATAAATATAAGTTCAAAACGAGCAATTATTATTATTCAATTTTTCATCGACTTTTAATTTTAAAAAAAAAATCACGTGACTTCCGGTGTAGATCGGAAGTTTGGGACTTCAGTTTTCCATATCTGGTCTCGATTTTCATCTATCTAACTCGAGATTAACGCAGGAGGACAGACATACAGACGGGCCAATGTGGAAACGTATAGGTCTGTATAATTAATTATTTTGCAATTTTATTCTATTTATTTATATATTATTTATAATACAAAGGTAAAGTGTGACATGATTTAAGAACATCTCACGTGAAAAACAATACAATACAATACAAAAAAAGACGTTCCCATTAAAACAAAATAAGCAAGCAACAAGGATAAAAAATAAATAAAGTAGGAGATATTTTAGACGATTTATTTAAATTTAATAAAAATATTTCTTTAAGAAAACGTATCACACAGTATTATTTACAATCTTTGAAAAAAAATTGACTTTTATGTTACACTTTTTCGTGATTTAATATTAATTTTATTGGATAAATAAAAAAAAAATACAAGTATAATATCTCTCAGTGTATTTTTACATAATAATAATAATAATAATAATAATAAATTTAACAGTTTTTTTAAGTTAAAATTTAAATATAATAATTAATTAATTAAAATTTAATTTTTAAAAATATTAATTCAGCGTTTATTATTGTTATTTTTAAAGACACCCCCCAAAAAAATCGATAAGACGTGTTAAAATAATTGCTAAACCAATTATCGATAATAATTTACAATGTAATTGATTTAATGCAACTTCTTTTCGTAAATAAAAGTTAAATCCTTCCTTTTTTTTAAACAAAATAATGAGACTAGTATTAATACTTTTTGAAGTATAAATATCTTATTTTTCAATTTATAAATAATTTAAATAATATTCTTACTTTAATATACAAAAAGACAGATTAATTTATATAATTAAATATCAATATTTTAAACAAAAAAGAGACTTTGGAGATGTCTCTAAAAGTTAGAAATTTAGAGTTTTACAACAAAGTTAGACTTAATTGTTTAGAGTTTTCTCCAACAAAATTCCTCAGCTTTCAATTGAAATGACACTTGTTTACCTGGGAGCATTAAAAAAAGACGTAAAAAAGAGTTATATTATTGATTATATATAAAAAGTGGCATAGGTCGTTACATCGATTTTCTAGTAAACACGAACATTTAACTCATTACTGCTTGATAATTGCGTTCGATGTCAGGAACATAGAATTGCGTTCATAAAGTCCCTATAGAGAGTGACGTTTAGCTAGCGGGCCGGACAGAGGAAATCCCAGCAGTAATTTCCGCACCTCCAACACATAGATAAGAACAGTAAGCGAACAATGAGATTAACAATAGAGAGTGAAAACAATGGAAATACCTGTTATTGTAACGTGTCACTGGTAAACGTACGAAGCGCTAACAAGGACAATTATGAGGGTGCGGGTAAGATAAGAGGAACGAAGTTCCCTAATGACACAAATTCTCTTCTTCGACTCCTCTACACTTGCTCCAGGAACAACAATAATAGCGAGCAACCCTACGCCATCTTTGTGCCATTATAATATAGATTTTTCTAGTTAATTAGGAGCGTCGTTTTGTAAATAGTAATGGCTAATTTAACTTAAAAAAGAAAAAAATTTCGGAATAATCATCAAAAAATATCTAAATCCGTCGAATGTCGACACGTTTCGTTGTTTTTCAAAAGATAAAGGAAGCTGGACACGGTTTTAAAACAGAAAAATCCAGTAGATTGTGTTTGACAACAATCTAGGATAAGAAAAAATACCGAAGTCGACATTCAATCAAGGAAGTTCATTCCGATAACACAATAACTTGCCGAGAAGAGAATCCAATCTCTTTCTCTCGATGGGATGTGGAAGGATAAGATAAATTGTTTACAGAAAGATTAATTTTAAGATAAGAAAGATCTAAGCGAGTATCTTCTCTATACAAGTTTTGGACGACAGACGACTCGGAGACGACGAAGAAGACAGAAAAGGGAGAAAAGCGTCGAATGGCGTGAGTAGCAAACATCAACAATCCACGAGAAAATCGATAACGAGAAAAAACTCGACGTCATCAACTGTGTCGTCCCGACATCTTGGAATTGTAATTGACCACTTCACACTATCCAATAAAATGAAACGTAAGTTTTCGTCAAAGAAAAAAAAAATCTTCTAAAATAACACCAATTTACGTGCATTAACTGGCGTAAATTCTCGACTTTATGTCAATATAAAGGTTTAAAAAATGAAACTTTACAAAAATATATATTATAGTTGTATCCAGACTAGATTTTTGTTCGCCTCTAGTGACGCATAGATTCTCTCCCCCGTGGAATAAATCAAGCACATCATGGATGGGAGACCTTAATCCTTTTATAGAGAGTTGCCGGCTTCCCCCTGCGAATACAGATATACAGAATGGTATTAAATTATAGAACGCTTCTCGTGTTCTATTAATCTTCTTAAAGTCCAGGTACTGATTATATTGCAAGATCCTCATCATTTATAAAGTCTACATAGGGAGTGTTCCTTTCTTCTCTTCCAATATAAATCTGTAAACGTTTACTTGTTTATCAATTAGAAATATAAACAGAATTTTAAACAAACAAAGAGTATTCTAGCTTTCTGAAGCGTATTTGCTAATAGAACGTGTTCTGAAAGTTGACATTTTAAAATTCAATTCTTTTATGTGCTATTTGTGGATTTAGAATTCCTCACGTTCGATACGTAGACATTTTGATATGATTTTCAATAATTATTATTTCAATTTTCTCTTTTATCCTATGGGATATATTTTTCATTAAAGTATAGAGTGTAAATAAAATTAAAACCTAGAACAAGTTGCATTATTCCTTAATGATGATGACCGATGTAAATATTTGCTTAAAGATCTGTTTCATATCACTTGTCTCTTTGGAGATTCCTGTGATTAACCAGACAATTTTCTGCAAACAGAGAAATTCTAACTATTTCTCTATATTACCTAGAAATGTATAAATCTTCCTCGACTTTATTCGTTTCAAAATATGATCATTTCTTATTAAAGCAACGTGTATCTTTGTCAAACTTGAAAAAAATCAATTTAAAAAGTATTATTTGATTAAATATTAGATGATAAACTATCCGGATGTTGAGAAATTGTGTGAAGAGAAAACAATCAAATGCGGTTCTATGTAATTAGTGGAATCCCCTTAGACCCCACATGAAGATAACTTGGGTCACGTAATGACGTCTTCTGTCCTCGTATAGATGTAATTATGTAGGATAGGATAAAAACTAAGCATCCCTCCCCAAAATTGTAAGGCGGAGTCCTGAACTTCTAAAATTACAGACCTTTTCCTCTAAACGCTGGTTGCCAGTGAAGGATCTTTTTAAACAGAAAGAAAACAAACAGGAAATTCTACCAGGCTGTTGATATCGTGAAAAAAAAAATTAAAAGAATAGTTAGGTAGTTTTATATATCCTATATAAGAGTAGAAATCTGTGCAGTTATCTATATTTATGTGTGAAAATTCTGATGTAATTCTGATGACTTAGTTTTGGTGATGTTCTTTTCATTAGTAGAAGCTGCCGATAATAATGTAGTGGTTATCTTCAAAAAAAAGGACGTAATTCGATATGGAATTCTTCGAAGGAATTGCATTCATTCTTCCTGTTGTTTTCCCTCATTCTCTCACATCATCTAATTCTTCTGAGACTTTCCTTATCCCATCGTCTTTCTCTTAGCGACATCCGTTTTTCTCTTATTGGCTTGAAACACAGAATACAAACCTTAGTCCAAATAAAAATCGAGATATAGTTTAGTGGCATAAGGGTCGAGATATCGTTTCAGTCCTTGAGAGATTATAGTGGATAAAATCATAAGTTATACAAGAATTGCAACTGTGATGACATTTTTGCAATCCTGTCTTAAAGTTTTATGGATGCAATTACATGTGATACGGCAGAAAATTTTTAAAAAAAAAGCATTCCAGAAATCTTGTGGATAGACACAGATTCACTTTTTTTTTTCTTCGTCACCCATTGAATACAATTTAAATAATCCAAAGATTATGAGGAATAACAACATTTATGACTATTTTTAAAGGATTTATTCCAGTGAATAAAGCGTTTCAGAAAGTTATTTTACGATCAGATGGGTATTTAATGCGTAAATCCAGATCAGAAACGGCATCATCGAACAAGTTAATCGATACTAGGTCATAAATAACATTCACAATTTGTCTACTAGTGACAGACAATTTCCGCAGAGCACTAGACGAGAATATTTCCAATCGGTTAGGTGCAAAATGACAGCTTACAGAGGACATCGAGGTGAATCCAAGATTATGACAGTAATTAAATTTCCATATCGGTGATGACGGACTAATAAATTAGACGGCTGACAACCAGCAATCACATCAACCTACTGCTACATATTTATCGATAGAACGTTTAATAACAATCATTTCGAATTGGGCATAAGGTTGTAGCTTAATGAAACCGAGCTAATCGTTTGGAACGTTGATCCGCATCAATCGAGTAATTAACAGACCCGCAGCACGTTGTTACGAGGGGAAGAAGATAGCAAAATTTCACCCTACCATCAGATAAAAAAAAAAAAAAAAAAGCAGATGTCGAGGAGAACTCTCTCGTATCCTATCGTAATTAACGACTCTCTAAGAAAACTCAGATTTAGGTTAAAAATATATCAAACTGTCTTCTTTTGAAATGACTTTATCTCGAGAATTGGTGTAGAATTTAAGACAGGTACCCGCCGCGAAGGAGTCACAGTTATTGATACCTCCCAGGTAGATGAAGCGATGTTGCATTAACACGTATTCTCTAGTTGCTTGTCAGATTTTATTGAACCTGCTGTGGTGTTATCTTCTATCGTTCGAGAAATATTAACAATCGTGTCTCGTCTATGCAGCTACATACTTTATTTTCTTGCAGGAAAGAGGAACGAAAAAGAAGTTTATCTCTAGAGACAGACACCTATCTTCGTAACTAAATTGTAATTTATTTTGTTGCGAAATTATCTGAATGATTCCTCCTGAGAAGCCTATTGTACAATTCTCTTTCGTTCACGTATTAAGTATTATTTGTTCGGGAATGTGTTTTTTCTCCTTTTTTTTTTTTTTAGAATTTATATTCGTTCAAATGACAATTTTATGGATGCAAAAGAAGGCACTCTGATTCTATTTTCGAGACTCTTCGAATTAACTTAAATTTTAAAAAAATCAATTAAGAATCCTTCGATAAATAACACGAAAATAAAAAAAAAAGTATCATTCCTGTTATACGATCTGATGGCAATTTATCGTATTTTATCGCTTCATCTAATCACTAAATTCAATTTTTCTTCAAAGAAGTTCGTTATATGATACGCTAATATCTAACAAAATCCGATTTGTTTCAATAAACATTAAAATTCTAATTTTTTCCTTCTCTTTCTTTGCAGATTATTCTAATAAAACAGATTATCTTTGATATATATTCTACCTCTTAAACAACTCTAATTTTATCGATGTATCTAAATAAAAAAAAAAATAAATAAGATAAAGAGGCAAACAAATTCTTAAGTTACTGTATTTGATTTTCTAAAATAAAAATTGTTTTAAAAAAATTAACAAACATGTTATTCGAAAGATGAAGGAAGAAGAGACATGAATAAAATTTAACTTAATCGATTCAATTTTAATTCTAAACACGTATAGATGTTTAAACAAAGCTAATTTGATGCAATTCACTTAATGTCAAACCATTACGGTAAATCACAGATGAGTGACAAAATATTGAATAAATATACAGTATCTATAAGACATTAAAGCATGGATTACCACTTAAATAACTTCAAAAAAATATCAGCCTGTGGGTTTACATCATTAAAATCTCGAAATCTATGTCTACAAATTGTGCATGGATCACACATCACACGTTTCAACTGATGGAAATTAAAAGATAATATTCATTAACGTTAATAAAGGGATCGGTTCTGTTGATTGTTTAGTAAAATGAGAAACGATTGTAACATCTTTCCTCGTTTCTGGAAAGAACCGAACTTGATTTGTCTTCATCCCAGCTGACAAATAACAGGGATTTGGTTTGTACAGGAACTAACGTTATTTCTAGTACATCGTGTTATCTTGGACCACCCGTACCTCTCATTATTTATTGTCTGACACTTATCTTATGTATACTTGTCTGGAGACAATTGTCTGGTAAGAGTAAGAGAGAGAGAGAAAATTCGATTTTATTTTACATCGTTAAGTTCTATACAGGTTGGTTTAAAAGAGTTAGTTCTATTAGAAGACAAAAATATCCATCGTTTCATATAGAAAACGTATATGTAAAGTAGTCTTATGTTGTAAAACAACATGATGAAATATATTTCACAGCTTAAATCACAAGTCAAACTAATAGTAAATAAAAGTTTTTTTAAATGCAAAGTATTTTAGAGAAAATCTGGAGAATGTTGATAGTGACATGGGTTTTAAACTATGCTTCACAGAGCCAATAGATAGAGGAGAACCAACAAATTTGCTGAATTTTACGACTGAAGATCAGTATGTTGTTACACATGGGTTTTATCTTCAAGTAAAGAAAATGAGGGTTCTCCGTCAACTGTCAAGATAGCGCAAGCAGTGGGCTAAAGAAACGAAGCGATTAAAGAAGCGGAGAAGAAATTCCTGACTCAGCATCTATAACTATGATGCATTCGAACATTTGTTGATTATACACACCATCCACAAAGGGAGGAGCCTCTTACTAATCAGTAAAGGTTATTACGATGATCTGTATAATGGAACTAGCGAAGGATATAATCAGATTACGACAACGTCGCATGGAAGTTGGTCTGGAAAAGTTAGCCATTATCATCAAGATCAATCAAATTCTTTTGGGTCTTCTTTATTAGCAAACCGACTCATATTATATAGGATTAGAAAAGAATTAAAGATAATAACAGATCTTCTGGACTTTCTCTTTTCTATCTCACGTCCTCTAAACTAGAAAGATAGTAATTCTTGAAGTAGTAAATTAGATAAAAATGTAACACTAAATGATGCAATTTTTCTATTTTTAGTAGAAAAATCTGTCATGTAGGAATTAATTCGAATAAAAATTATGAAACACGGGATATATTATCATTCTATTAATTAATTTTGAACTCTTATCTAATAAAATTCCTGTAGAAAGTGGTACATAAATGTAAATGATGTTTGAGGAGAGAAAACAATAAATCAAAGAAGAACAACTAACTAAAGAAAGAAGTGGAGTCTTTAGCTTCTTACTAAGTTGCCCACACCCGTTCGATCCATCTTTCCATTTAATGCGGCACGACACGCCAGACTCACTTCTTGGCCGTGCAATTTTCCTACATCATAGACGTGTCCAATAGAGCTCTGGCTGTCAAGAGGACAGTGCACTGCATGCTTCCCAACGCCTTATCTACACTATCATTCTGTGCCTGCCTTTCTCTTATAATCAATAAGTGCTTTTGTTTCTCTAAGGGAAACACCTCCTGCAGTCACAGTCGTGTTTACACAGTTGCCGAGACTTCCGGTTGGTTGCTCCCTTCTCCCAACACGTCACACGTCACTGCACGTCACTGTTGATAGACTTACTGGCAGCACCGGACAAAGAAAATTCCATTAAATTTCTACTTTGTTGCTGTTTTTTTTTCCTTTTTCTCCACCCCTTAAAATCCTTTCGGTATCTCCAGTATAACCCAACAACATTCGTGAATGCCTAACGTAAATGCTCAACACGAGTTTAGAGTTTGTTGGAACGATTTCAAAGCAAATTAATTCGAAAGAATTTTACTTTCTTTTAAAGAAATATCTTAGTAAAAGCTTGAAGATAAGGCACATTAACCATTGAGCACGGAATGCGATCGCTTTTCTCTAAGTGTAAAATGTTACTAAGAATAGTAAGCGATCGTCGTCAAAACACGAGTTAAGGTCTCGAGAAAGCTGGAAATTTTTAGAAACTGACAAGCCAGAAAGATGAGAATTCTTAGAAATAACCCCCAAAAAAAAGAAAAAGAAAAAAAAAATAACATGCCGACGCCCGAAGGAACGTGTTAAAGTGGTATGAAAATGGCCGTAAGCAAAGTGAAACTACAAAATTGTACCTATAAAACTTATACTTAAATAAGAATATAAACAAAATTTTACATAGTTAATGCCGTAAAAAATTTTAAGTAGTTTTTATTCTGTAAATAATATCAATATTTTAAATTTTTAATAATATAACTTTTTGATATTATAAACTCCATTAAAGTTAATTTAAATCTCTTAAAAAAACGCATTTTAGTATATAGAAAGATGTTATTTATTTATCACTTAACTACTTTACGAAGGTAATTTTTAAAGTTAAAGTGACTTTTATAATAAATAAATAAATATTCAAGCTTTTATATTAGATTATATTTACTTTTAAAGTTAAAATTCCAAATTTAAAAAGTTTCTCTCCTTCATTTCAACTTAATAATATTATTTTTAGAAGTTTATATAATATATTTAAACCACGATTCTGTTTATTTTTAATGTTTATAATTATAATTTAAATCAAACACGTCGTATCGAAACTCACCCCTTAATCATCCGTCGAGACATTAAAACCAAATTTAGTACACACGATGAAATTATGGTAAACATCCAAATCTCTAGATTCCAACCGAATTTTATATTTAGATAACTTTTTAATGGATAAAATTTCATCTTAATATAGCTCATAATTTTATAAAATATAAATATAATTTATATTTAATTAAAGTCATCCAACTAAACGACTATATAAAGTCAATTTTGGATAGTTGGATGCTAGAGAAAAATCAATGAAGTTGAAAAGCATAAGGACGATGTGCTAACAGACAGTTTGGTACTAAGACCAGAAGAAAGATAAAGCTTGGTGACAAATATCATGTTGACAGGGGAACATCAGAACAGAACTGAGTAACTTGGCTTTTACATCAGTAGCTTTCATCCATCTCGTCTGTCAATGTCTAAGAAAGAACATCCGGATGAAGTAGCTACAAACCACCACCATTAAGATGTCATTGTTGTTCTTATACTACCATAGAAATATTTACGATACGAAACACATTAATTACATTTTAAATCCCTTTTCAAAGATCCAAAACTATACCAACACGTTACAACAACAGCTATATATTTAATAAAATGTGTTACTTCAATATTCAATTTTCAATTACATTAGTAGTTTGTTTTTAGACATTCAATTGCATTAAATTTATGTAAAGAAACTCGGGGGAGAAAAAAATATGAGGTGGATTAGGAAGAGATAAAAACTATTTAAGTGGCACACCACGTATACGGTGTCATAAAGTAAACCATAAAATTAAAGAATTATCCTGTGGTATACCAAAATCGTTATCGTAAAAAGTATTGTCGTCACTTTTAATGTGGAGGTGAAAAGGACTCGAGGTCCGTCACCCCGATTCAATCCAAAAAGGCTGATTATACGTCGAAACAAGCTAGAAAAAAAAAATAAAGAAAAGATAATATATTGATCACCTCGGTAATTATTCATGTTGAGACACTCTTTAATTACATCTTTGTCTTCGCTTTAATAACAGATGAGGTGTTGTTTAGACCTTGAAAAGGTCATTTTTGGTTTGATCGTTGCAATAATTGTTGCTATCTTACGAAAAATTCCAGAAAAATCTCTCCCACTAAAATATTTCTTTTTGATCTCCCGATAACCTCCAAATTGCTCTATTAGAAGAGTTTTTAAAAAAAATATTAACAAAATTTACAATTTCTTAATGTTTTTAGATAAGCCAAATAACGCACGATTTTATATTGTTAACTTTTTTGAGATCTTTTTTATTATAGTAAAGAATACAAATAAGAAACTGAATTTCTTGAAATAGTATGTAAAAATAATTTTTCTTCGTTAACATACTTTGTTAAATTCATAAATAAAGCGACAGAAGAGAATGAATATAGTCGATATGCAGAGAGTAATTTGGTAATTACTATATTCAATTGAGAGAGTTAAAACTAGCGGAATGTGTTGGGCCAGTGTTGACAAATGATAAGCGCAGTGAATCTGTTAAATGTAAAGGACAGTTCCTTCCCAATCTAGTAAATTCCTTGCGCTTTGGACTGTGCATTCGGCAAGCAACAGATGTCCTCTCGACGCAATTTCATGGTGATCGCGTGCAATTGCCTGCTTCTGGCATCCAGTTAACGATCGCTTGGAGATCCGAACACCAGAGCCTGTTTAATGTGGTCAGCTTAAATCACTCTGCAATTCACTGCACACTAAAATCGGCTTTGCCACAATACTAATTCCGGCTCGGTTACTTCCATCTATACAAAACAATTCACGTCTATGCCTATTGTCATTCCTGCAACTCTATCTAACTATTCACCTTAACGCATTATTAATAAGTTTCCAAATTCTCACCTGCCAGGGGTGATTTTTTTCGCACGACCCATCGTGACCCATCCATTATATACCTATAACTTATACACTTTTCAATAATCGGCATCTTAAAGGGATTATTCGAAT